GTATTATATACCTTAGGTCGGTAGGCGAAAATGCATGTTTGTGCGTCGCGTTTCAGCGCCAGCGAGTGATTCGCGTACCCAGTAACGAATTAGCAACGAGAGGCACGAATTGCGCCTATTTCAGCGCGCATTCGGACGATGCAAGCGAATGGACGAGTGCAAGACAGGGTTGGAATGCCGCTCGCCAACGCTGGGCAAGGCGTGAGTTCGCGGGACGCGCCGCCTTGGTCGTTGGGGAGCAATTTTTGGCCGCGCGCCACGGCCGGCGTCGTCTGTATCCTTGGGTACACCCCCGACTCTACTCGTTCGATAGTAGAACGCTGGCTTCGATGGCCCAAGCCAACCGCGAGGAAATACAACACCAACATCGCATCGGCACGTCGCGAGAGCGGTGATATATATGTCGGCCTGATCTGTTGGTTCCAATGCAGCGTCGGCGCGCTCGTGTTGTGTGTCGTCTGGCCGTACTGCCACGTTCAACGTACTGTTATGTAAGATGTTTTAAAGCGCTCTTTAAGATCCTGGTCGCGCCGGAATGACGTGCATCGACCATCGCGCAGAAAGCACCATGCTCCCTTGGCCTTATGCAAGCACGAGATGCAGGCTCAGCGCGTGTGCCTCGCGAAGCGCGGTGTGCTACGACAGGTCTCAAATAAGCATGCTAGCTTTTAATCGTGTAGTATATATTGCTATTTAACACACCTCGACCAGATCGCCAACCAACAAATTGTATCATCCGACTCCACCGACCGATGTTCCTCGAGCCTCTTCCTCGTCGTTTTTGTCAAGAATGCGGATGCCACGCTCGATCTCGCCTGGTTTGGAGCAAAGGTGCGCCGTGGGCGTGTCATAAATTAAAACGTTTTCAATGGTCGGTCACACGACGCCTCCGTCACAACCCTCTGGATGCGAGTGACCCTTGCTTGCTCATTGGTGTCGCAGCTACTTGCGCCAAGACGAGAGAGGGATATATTCGCGACTTGAATCGTACAATCGATGACAGTTTGCTCTTGCCTTTTCGTAGTTTCATCATGCAACCATTAGCACGAAACATTGTTCATATCAAAATAACATTATTGTCGCCTACATAAATCCTAGTGTCCTAACATCGCGCACCATTATCTTAGGGGGTCGGGAATTCCCGAAATGCGCTTGGTGACGTGCACGAGTCACAGCGGCTTGAGAGGACTGTTTCGTCCAAGCTCGCTCGCATCGTTCCATCCACACTTGATCGGACCGCTGGCCGCAATGCAGAGATGTAGTAGCGTTGGGCAATCACCATCGACGACAAGACGCCAACGACGCTCGCAACGGTCCACACGACGCCTACATAGCTACAACGTCAGATTCCAGTCGACATCAGACACACTCGACGTACTCGATGTGACGACGACCGTCTGCACGCTCAAGCACGACGCTCCACAGAGTGTTTCGCAGTAAGTGCAGGCTGGATCCGATGGCAGCAGAAGCGCAGTGGCCGCTTCGCACGAGGCGGCGGACGGAAACTGCTGGCACGGTCCTGCTTCGTCAAACGAAGGAAGGCAGTGGGTCGTGTTGTCGTCGATCTTGCGCAGTGCGAGGATCGTGTTGCCGCTGGTGTTGCAGACCATGTTGCTGCTTTCGGCGGCGCTGTGCAGCGAGGCATTGGCCGTGGCGCACCAGCCGCCGCTGCCCCAGAGACCGGCGTTGTCGAGAGGGCAGCCCACAGATTTTTGTCGTGTTGGGACTGGCGAGCTGCGAGGGCCAGAG